TTTAAGTTGATGTGAAAACTGAGAATATAAAATGAAAAAAATATAGCCTCTGTAAACCAACTAAATTCAAGCTAAATTTTATATACTACAGATATCATGATTTCTTTTGGTTTATTCACTAAAGAACAATATCCTGTCAAACACACCACATCTATTCTTGGAGATATTTCAAATTTGTTATGGCTGCATCGTCCTTCTTTATAAGGATCTGTCATAACATATTTAATTGTTCTCATTTTTAGCTAATAGTTTGTTTTCAATATTGTCAATTAGAGTGCAACCATGAATAAAATCATGGACATGCATTTTTATAATTTTTAATTAAAAAATTATATAATATTGGAGGTCATAATGTCAGTATAAATTTCTAAAATTGGAATTTCTGAGTCAAAAGTAAATGCCATTCACTTTCAGTTAGCAATGTTAAATCATTTTCTACACACAGTGTTTCCACTCCCATTAACAGTCTGTTATTAGTGTTCTTGTTTCTCAATAACCTTAATATCAGATGAGGTTTTTGTCATTATAAAGTATTGGCAATCTTACAGGTTGAACATGGTAACAGAAAATTATTTTACTTTGCATTTCTCTAATTATATGTGTGATTGAATATCATTTCACAAGTCAAAAAGTCATTTCCTATATAATTGTGAATTGTTTATATACATCTTTCGCTAATTTTCTCTACCAAGTTTTTATTTTCTTACACCTTTTAAGAGTTATTTATATATCATTAATACCATCTTTGTATCCTTGAAATGTTGCAAGTATTTTCTCCTATGTTGAATGTGATTTGAATCTGTTTATGAGATTGTGTCTATGTGCTTGTACTAAAAAACAATAACAAAAAACACTTTATTTTAGCTTCTTTAAATGTATTGATAATTTTTATTGTGCCTGTATTTGATAAACAGGTAAAAACACTTTCTTATATCAAAGATAAAAAGAAATTTACCATATTAACTGTTTCCTATGTTGAATAGCTTTTTTAAAAATATAATTCCATTAATTTGCTTTTGCTTTAATGTCCTATGCTTTTGGGTCTTGTCCAAAAATCCTTGCCCATTCCAATGACTTAAAGATTTCCCCTATATTTTCTTCTAGTTGTTTTCTAATTTCAGGTTTCACATTTAAATCTTTCTTTCTCTTTGACTTAGTTTTTAGGATTGATAAGAGATGGAAATTTAGCTTTATTCCTCAGCATTTGTATATTAAATTTTACCAGCATTGTTTATTGAAAAGGGTATCTTTTCTCCAACACATGTTCTTAGCATCTTTGTCATAAATCAGTGGCTGTAGGTGTGTGGGTTGCTTTACTTGGCTTTCTATTCTGTTCCACTGGTCTGTGCATCTGTTTTATTTTTCCAAATACCATGCTCTTTTGATTACTATAGCTTTGCAGTGTATTTTAAAGTCAGGTAATGTAATGTCTCCTGATTTTTTCCTTTTGCTCAAGAGTGTTTGGGTTATTTAGGGTCTTCTGTGGTTGAATGTGAGTTTTAGGAATTTTTTCTAATTCTATGAAGAATGCCATTGATAT